ACTTCTTCCCAGCTAAGCCAGGTCTCCCTGAGCCCAGGATTCAAGAGTAAAACAAACAGTACTTTCCTGTGATCGCCACACCTGGAGCTAGGCTGGGGCCTGGGGGAGGAGGTGGGAACTCCTGCCAGGGGGTCAGGGGGCCAGAGGCCAGGAAGGGGACCCTCGATTCTGCCTTCAGCAGCCATCCATTGTGGGAAGAGGAGCCAATCCAGGACAGCAGCCCCTCCGCTACCCATTCCTGCTGCCCCGGCCCCACACAACCACAGGGACCTGTTCACAGGGAGGTTATGCCACCTGTACTGCTGTGGTCTGCTCTACATGTGCTGCCCCTCCGGTCCCTAATGAACCTGACAGCATCCCTCCCCAGCCCTTCCCGCCAGCTTGGCTCCAGCTCAGCCTTCCTCAGCAAGGCTCTTCCTCACACCTCAATCCCCAGACTCCATCTGGTTCTGTGTGCACCTGTGAGGCCCAACTTCCCAGAGCAGGCCACGTCTCTCAGTCTCTGCTTGTGCCACACATTCACGAGGAGCTGGTAAGTGAGGAACAGGGTGCTGTCCCTTCTCCTGGTCCACAATGGCCCCTGCTTTCCCACCCAGATCCCTCCTGAGAGTGGGGCAGGGACGACTTTTCCATTGCACAGATGGGAATATCAAGGCTCAGGAGGATGAAGGGACACACTAGGGTCAGCCAGCTTGTCAGGGGCAGAGCTGAGGCTGATTCAGAGCACCTGCCCCTTCCCCAGGTTGGCTCTGACTCAAACTGTGGAGCCAGGTGTGAACCCTAACCCAGGGACGCTCAGAAGACCTATACAATGAGGGACGTGCACATCAATACCACAGTGAGATGCCACTCACATCCATCAGGATGACCACATCAGAAAGACAGGAAATAACAAGTGTTGGACAAATTGGAAACCTCATGCACTGCTGGTAGAATGTAAATTGGTGCAGCCACTGTGGAAAACCATACGGTGGCACCTCAAATAATTAAAAATAGAGTTCCCTTATGATCTAGCAGTTCCACTTCTGGGTAGATACCCAGAAGAACTGAAAGCAGAGACTGAAACAGACACTTGCACACCCATGTGCACAACAGCATCACTCACAATAGCCAAGGGATAGAAACAATCCAAGTGTCCATCAACTGATAGATGGATAAACAAAACGTGGTGTATCCAGGCTTTAAAAGGAAAGAAATCCTGTCACGTGCCACAACATGGCTGAACCTTGAGGACCTTACGCTAAGTGAAATAAGCCAGTCACCAAAAGACAGATATTATCTGATTCCACTTCCATGAGGTGCCTGGAGTCATCACAGTCATAGAGACAGACAGAATGGTGGTTGCCAGGGGCAGGGGGAGAGGAGTTTCAGTTTGGGAAGATGAGAAAGTACTGGAGACAGATGGTAATGATGGCTGCATAACTGTGTGAATGTACAAAACCCTGTCAACTGCATGCTTGAAAATGGTTAAGATGGCAAAATGTACATATATTTTAAAATGCACCCATGTTGAAATGTAAAAACCATTCTTAGCCCATAGACCATAAAAAAGCAGATGGCTAGCCAGGTTTGGCCTGTGGGCCACGATTTCCCAGCTGGGAAAGAGTAGAGTAAAGGAACTCATCCAAGCTGCAGCCCAGAGGACCAGGAGTTGCTCCCACACACAGGCCCAGTGCTCCTGCCTCTCACCCTTGTAACCCTGTCCAGACGGTTCCAGGGAGCTTCCGAGAGTCTGCAGCTCCTGAGGACAGAGCACCTTCCTGGCAGTAGGCCAGGAAGTGAGACCACACTGGGCACCTCTGTGTGTGCACTGGGGTTCCTGCTAGCTCCTGCGGAAAGGGCTTCTCCTGCTGGTCAGCTGGAGATGCTGAGGGTCAGGAGCTACAGGCGGCAGTGGAGGGCAGAAGGACACAGGCTTGGCTGAGGCAAGGACCCTGCATCATGGGAGGGAAAGTCAGATCCATCCGTAACCCTGGCACTATGACCACAGTGGAAGTAAGGCCCAGGGAACGTGGGCAGGGCCTGGGGTAGTGAGGCCACATGTTTACTGGCGTGCTGGAGCACTCGTCAGGTATCAGAGACCACCGGAGCCTCCAGCCATCCCATGACCAGAGGCCAGGGATCAGCCAGGCTCAAACCTGGGCTTCCACATTCCCAGGCAGGCTTGTCTCTCTCTGCATTGAGCCTCAAATACTTAGTGATCATGCCCAGGTGTGGTGTCTGACCCTGGGGACAGAATGGCCTACAAGACAGGCACGATCCTTATGGTCTGTCAATAGAGGTGGTCTTAAATGAAGTATATAAGCCCATACGTGGCCTGAGTGAGGGCATGGGAGCCCGAGGGGAGCTGGAGGTGTGTACAGACAGGGGCTTCTTTTGGCCCGGTATGGTCAGGGATGGGCTTTTTGGCAGGAGCCGAGGATGCCAAGAGCCAGATGGGGGGACGGGGGCAGCAGAGCCTGGCAGAGGCCCTGCAGTGGGAACAGGGTGGTGACCTGGAGCTGCAGTGCAGTGAGCCTGGGCGGACGGGCAGGGCGGGACCACGCAACTTGGGAAGGCGGTGAGTGATGGGGTTATCCTCAGTGTGGCGGGGGATGATGACATGATTCGATGCCCATTTAACGCCACCACCCTTGCACTGTGTGGAGGCCTGGACTGAAAGCCAGGAGCCACGGAAGAGATGGCTGCACTGCCCAGAGAGAGGGAGATGGAGGTGGGGTGGACGGCGGGGTGGCCCTCCAGGGGGTCACAGGACTATGAATTACGGCTGTGCTGTGGGCAGAGCAGGGAGATGGCAGGAAGCAGTCAAGAAGGCCTCTGAGGCTTCCAGCTTGAGTTCCCCTTTACCGAGATGGGAATGGGCAGGAAGTCAGCACTCAGCAGAGACACAGAGCAGCTCCCAAGCAGGGCCAGCGGACGGGCTCTGGCAGGCAAGGCAGCTGGTTTGCCCCTGGTTCTCCACTTGCTGGCCCAGGACTCCCCTGATGAACAGCTTCAGGTGCCCACCTGTGAAGGACTGCCAGGATTATCCAGACCCAGGTGGGGTGGAGCCCAGTGTGGCTGGTGCTTGGTGACAGTGGTCCCAGCATGCTCTGGGGCGGGGGGTGGTGAACGGCTCGGACGGCAGCCTCGAGCTGAGTCCTGAACCCTCTCTTGCCCTCTGCCTGTCCTCGGTCTCACTGCTTCTGCGGGGACTTCAAGTGTGTAGTTGGCCAATGACAGTCCCCTCCCTCCCAGTTGCTGGAATGTGAGTGCCTGGGGTCTGGAGGGCGCAGTCTGTCTCCATCCTGCCAGTGCTGCCCAAGGCCCCATACTGTGTAAGAAAGGTCACTCCGCAGGTGGCCTGAGAGGCAGCAGGGCAGGAAAGAGGGCCACCTCCCTTCCCCTCTGGAGGTCCCACCCACAAGCCCAGTCTGGGTGGCGCTGGTGCTATGACTGCTACATTTCTCTGGCCTAAGTGGATCGAATCCTTTTCCCCAAGCCACTGCCAAGCCTTAAGCTGCCTGTTTTTCCACCCTTGTCAGGGCTCTGTGAACTGCAAAACCTCGGAAGAATCACTGCTTCTTGACAAGCCACACTTTTTTCACCTGTCCACTGGACTCTTTCCTGCCTGGGCAGCCTGCTAGCTGGTCAGCAAGCCGGTTGTGCAGGCCTGGAAGTCCCTTGCCCCCTGTGGGTAAATGAGGCCTTTCTGGGGAAGCATCCTCACATAGATCTACTCAGCCCCCTCTGAGAACCAAGGCCCTGGACACCCATCCACGCCTGGAGACAATGAGTAGCCCCAGCCTGAAAGGCCAGGAAGCAAAGACCAGGAGCCAAGGATCCAGTGGGGAAGGGTGACCTCAGCAGCACCCTGGCCATCACGCTCGCCCATAGGAAGGCCAAGCCCACCATGATGATGACAAGAAGGTAGCCAGGGCACTGGGGAGGGAAGGGCTACGCCACACCCTCAATGTGAGTGTGGGAGGGGCCTCGGCTGCCAGCCATGCTTGCCCCCTCGTCCTGGCAGGGAGCATCCACCAAGCCCCTTTCCTGTGCGTACCCCAGTGCCATGTGCACTGCAGTACCCGCAGGCCAGGCTGGGCCGAGAAGAAGACGCTTCCAAGGGCAGCATGGAGAGCTGGCCCTGTCTAAAGGGAGAAGAGCTGGCCCTGCCCTTCCAGGGCAGCAGCACATGTCCTGTCTAAAGCAGCAGCTGGGACTGGCCCCAGTGACTGCTCCATGTGGGGGCATCACCAGGCATGAACAGAGCTTCTAATCTGTCCCAACAAGTCAGAGATGGCGACTCACTGGTGCAACTTCTCATTTTTAAAGTGCCACCCGGGCCACATTTAGTCTATGAGCTGCTGTGCGCTGCCTGAAGTGATTCTCAGGGCACCCTGGGAGGTGAGATCCCCGCCCAGTGACAGCCAGCTGCCTTGCCCCACCCAGCCCACGCCCCCAGAGTGCCCGCTACTGACACATTCAGGGGAGGGAGAAGCATTCGCTCCCAGCCCAGTGGGGGCTTCACCATCCAGATCCAGTTCACCTGCTCTGACCTTTCCCTTTGATGATGGCAGGAAGGTGCATGTCCCAAGTCCAGAGATGGACAGAGCAGCTGCTTGACACCGGTCCCGGCCTGGGGCTGGGGAGATGTCAGGTCCCAGTCCCCGTCCCAGCCCTTCTGGAGGGGACTCCTAAAGCAGTCTGGCTATACAGTGACAGCCGGAATGCAAGCTTGGGGACCAGCCAGGCGATGTCCCTCTGTTCCTTCCTGTTCAGACTTTCCCATCTCGCTCTGGACCCCAAGCAGGGTGGTAGCACGGTCCCATTCACATTGCCCCCCTTCCTGAGGTCACTAGGACTCCTCTGCTGGCGAGAGTCTAGTCAGAGGGGTCGGGCAGGGACTGTGTCACCACAGTGGGCTCGGAAAGCGGGATCCCCTGCCCACTCAGAAGCAGACGGACCCCCAACCGACCGACTGCGCCCCCCACCTCACGGGACAAGGGGACTGTGCTTACCAGTGTGAGCGCAGGACATTCAGGAGCAGGATGGTGGCGCCCAGGGAGTAGCAGGCCAGGTAGGGGGACCCGAAGGCCTTGCTCAGCTTGCGGGTTCTCTGCTCCCATCTCGCGACCTAAACAGCAGGTGGAGAACCAGAGCGAGAGTCGGGGGTGTGCTGGGGAGACCCCAGGATGGCGCTGGGGCAGCGAGGCTCCCTCTGTGTCCCCAGAAGGCCTGGAAGGCCAAGAAAGGAGAATTACACAGAGCAGCCACTCCACGCACTTCAGCTGAAACCGCTCGTAGAAAATGAACATGACTTCTGGCTGAGCACTTGCCCTAAAACACAGACTTTCCAATATGTGATTTTTAGCCACAAAATCCTTTCACCCTCTTTTTTCAAACTAATCACATCTAGAATGTCAACATTCAGCAGCTAACAGTGGAGAAGAGGAAGCAGACGGCCCTTCCCGCCTTGCGGTTGTCCCCACTGTCCTGAGCTCCCCACATACCTTGGCCAAGCTGTCTGCTGCCCAGTGCTGGCCCCGCACGTTGATGAATGAGTGGGGAAGAAGTGTGAGGTAACTGTCCTCTGGACAGAAACTTTTGTTCCCTTATACCTGACTTCTTTCTGCCTCTCCCCCCTGGAGCAGCCTCTGGCCAAGGTTGGTCTCTGCGGGATATGCATATTCCCAGGGGTAAGTCATGGGATGCAGGTGACCCATCACAGGATGCATGCAGGTAACCAAGCAACCTAAAGATAATGTAGTCTTTTTTTGGTTATTGTTGAGTCAGATCTCACTCTGTTGCCCAGGCTGGAGTGCAATGACAAGCTCATGGCCACCGCAGCCTCGATCGCTTGAGCTCAAGCGATCCTTCCGCCTCAGCCTTCCAAGTAGCCGGAATTACAGGCATGTGCTACCATGCCCGGCTAATTTTTTGATTTATTGTAGAGATGAGGTCTTGCCAAGTTTGCCCAGGCTGGTCTGGAACCTATAGGCTCAGGCAATCCTCTCACCTCGGCCTCCCAAAGTGCTGGGATTATAGGCGTGAGCCACTGTGCCCAGCCAATGTGGTCTTTTTAAAAAGCTATTAAGACTCTGAAATTTGACTTAAAAAAAAAAAAACCAATATCACGTGCTAGATAATTCTTTAATCTTGTTGTAGGCCAGGGCTCTGAGAACAGGGCTTTCTTACATTTCACCTCTTTAATTAATTCAAAGTTACACATTTAAATGTACTAAGATAGATGGTTAAAAATAGTAGATCCTTAGCCAGTCATGGTGGCACAAGTCTGTAGTTCCAGCTACTTGGAAGGCTGAGGTGGAAGGATTGCCTGAGCCCAACACGTCGAGGCTGTAGTGGCCATCAGCGTGCTACTGCACTCCAACCTGGATGACAGAGTGAGACTCCAACTCAAAAAATAAAAAAGTAGATCTTTTCCTTGATTGTTGTAATTCTCTGTAAGCCTAGGTTGTGAATTCTAAAATGTTATTCTAAAATGTCGGTGGTCACGTGCAAGAAAATATTAGCATGATAGGTCTCATATGTCAAACTGCACATAGGCTTCGTTAACTGTTAACTCAGGGTGGGTGAGAAATGTCTAACTGCACATCACCTAAACAATGATTTGTAGCCTAGAGAGTTATTTCTTTCCTTTTGGTTTTTTTTTTTGAGTTGGAGTCTCACTCTGTCACCTAGGCTGGAGTGCCATGGCACACTCACGGCCCCACCAGCGTGGACCACCAGTGTCAACCCATTGAGCTCCAGTGATCCTTCTCCCTCGGTCTTCCAAGTAGCCGGAACAGATGTGTGCTACCACGCCTGGCTAATTTTCTTTTATTTATGGTAGAGATGAGATCTCACCAAGTGTCAGGGGCTGGTCTCAAACCCGCGAGCTTAGGCAATCCACTTGCCTCGGCGGCCTCCCAAAGTGCTAGGATTACAGGCTGAGCCACTGAGCCTAGCCAAGAGTGATTTCTTGAGACTCAACCTATGTAATCCTCTTGGCTCCTTTGCTCAGTGAGGCAGTGGCTTTCAAGGCATTGGCCTAACCCTCTCTCCCTTTGCCTAGCAAAGAATAACTCTCTCCCCTTTTTCTCAACCTTTGTTTCCTGGATTCATTGGGTTATAGGATCAGAGATCATTGTTGTGGATTACAACCAAAAATATAAAAACCCTATGCTTATAATTTTAAAATACCCAGCCAGCTATGGAATAATGTGCATTTTATTTTTTTTGAGTTGGAGTCTCGCTCTGTCGCCCAGACTGGAGTGCAGTGGCTGCTCCCGGCCCCCGCAGCCTCGACCTGCTGGGCTCCAGCGATCCTTCTACCTCAGCCTTCCGAGTAGCTGGAACTACAGGCGCGCCCTACCACGCCCGACTGATTTTTTTTTTTTTTTGAGTTGAGTCTCACTCTGTCGCCCAGACTGGAGTG